AAAAAAAAAAAAAAAAAAAAAAAAAAAAAAAACAAAGCAAAAATCCCCTTAAAAACCACAAAACACAAAATGTGAAACCGCAAATTTGTGATGACTTATTTACGGGGGGCGAAGTAGTGGTAAAAAACGCAAAAACCGTAAAACTGAATTTTTTTGCATCCAATGAACCTCAATAATAATTTGGGTGAAGATCCAACCACACTCTGTGAAGTAGTTACATGGACATACAATAGACAATACTATTATATTTATATTTGGTTTGAATTTCACGCAAAGCTACACGAGGGCTATCTGCGCTAGCCGTCCCTAATTTATCAGTGAAAGAATAAAGTGAAGGCAGGTAGTCATCACCACCCACCGCCAACTCTTGGGCTACTCTTTTACCAACGAATAATGGGATTGACCGTCACATTATAACGCCCACACGGCTGAAAGGGCGAGCATGTTTGGTGGGACGGGGATTCGAACCCGCGACCCTCAGATTACGAGTCAAACTCCCTAACCACCTGGCCATTTTCATTTATGTAGATTATGTCATCGAAATATGCAGGAAAAAAATGAAATTGTTAAACCAATTTCAGGTTTATAGAGACAACCGAAGCGAAATGGCAAAGTTTAAATTCTATCCAGCTGTTGTTTATCAACAATATTTTCCTGTGCAAATAAGAAGGGTTATAAAAAGCCATAAGGTTGTTTTTGTTAGGCCCAAAGCTATACAGTGGGGGCCTAACTATAAGAACATTTAATATAAATTATGATTATTTTTGCATGTTTTAACTTTTTACAATACTATTTCTGAAGAACAACAACAGCATTGAATCGGCTACTGAAAAAAGTTACTGTTGTTCTTATTTTAGCTAAAAGCTAAACTAGGGGTTATCTGCGCTCTGACCATCACGGGGAATTGAACCCCAGATGTTAACGTTTTAAGCTTGTAAACTTACCAATGACCCAGTGAAAGATCTGAAAATGTTCTTCATCATTTATCATAATGCCAAATCCACAAGTTTGGGTGTTTCAAATATTTCTTAGCAGAAAGACGTATTTATACTGCACGCCATGACGTATCAACATATCTAAGCAATTCAAGCTGAGGAGGGGTTAAAATGCGAGAGTAAAATGTAACGAAACCCGTGTTTTACTCTTGTTACATGTCCGATAATGCATGAGATAACTTTGGGGTCATAAAGGTCACTTTGAATGAAACTGTGTTATTGTGTTTGTATTGAAATTGGTGTAAAAAATATCATGTTTTTTCTCTGTATATCAACATACTACTTGAAGAATAATTCTGATGCTGACTTTTGATCACCAATCTTGCTAACTCACCTACTACATGAATATTAACTCAAATATTGATTTCTTTCTGATCGCTGATCTTGCCACTAGTCTTTTTTGGGAACTATTCGTTTGTTTTATTGTGGTTTAAAAAATTAAATGTTACAAAATAACCCATTACTTAAGAATAAATAATTATCATGATGAAAATTTCGTAACCAAAAATGTTATAAAAATATGACATGATCCGAACACAATTCTTTCAGAAAGATTTAAGCTGTGGAAATTTTATTCGTTTTATTTCAAATTCTCTCCAATTTAGGAATTAGTTTTATGTAACGTAGTAAAAAAAAGCGGGATGTAATAATTTATTGAAAAACGACTTGAACTCCAATATTAAGCAGTTTTCTGGCTCATATCTTTCTCAAGGTATAGGCCCGGTATGACCAGATGGTTAGGGCGCTCGACTCGCAATCTGAGGGTTGCTGGTTCGATTTCCCGTCCCTTTCAGGTTTGGGGCCATTATAATGTACGGTCAATCTCACTATTAGTTGGTAAAAGAGTAGCCCAAGAGTTGGCGATGGGTGGTGATGACTAGTTGCCGTCCCTCTAGTCTTTCACTGCTAAATTAAGGACGGCTAGCACAGATAGCCCCCGTGTAGCATTGCGCGAAATTCAAAACAAACAAACAAACTCAAGGTACAGCGTTTTATCTGAGTCGTGAGAATAACCGACTACCGAAGAAGCTGTAACGTTGATAATAAACTGTTTTATTCTGAAACTTAGGTCGTTCGTCAACTTATTATGCGCTATTGAATTCATTTTTCTTGAATACGATTTCTTATCATACCAACCATTTTTTATTCTTCTTTTTACACGCAGGGAAATTGGATAAATTTGAAGAGAATCTAGCATCGAGAGTCTCGCTGCAGATTTATTATTACTCAGATGTTGGGCTTTACAACGTACCTACTAGCATCAGTGGTTTTGACGAGTTACTGAAGGGTTTTAAAACGGCAGTCCAAGACGTAAACAATGGAAAAGGGGTGCCTATAAAAGTAGAATTGGTTGATCTAAAAGCTATTGGTGGTGGAGAAGAATATATTGGTTACAAGTGAGTTTAAATTCATTCATTGCTAGTACGAATCAAACAATATTGTTTTTTTAAGGCTCATAACATAGATAAATTAATATGTAGAATTATACATGGTTGTTGTACATTGTTGCCTGATGAAGGCTCCGGTAAGAGGGCCGAAAGATTGCAAATAAAAGTATTTTAACGTAGAGAAAAGTCTGTGTATAATTCTACAAATTAACATCATTGTATATAAATGCAACCACATTGTGTAAAAGTGTAACTACATTGTTCATAATTACGATTGTATTGTCTATAAGTACGACCACAGTGCTTATAAGTTTAACTACATTGTATATAAGAGTAACCAGTGTTTATAAGTGTAACTACGTTGTTTCCAAGTACGATTACATTATTTATAAGTACAATTATATTGTTTATAAGTTTACATTTACTAACTTTTTAGAAAGTGAGTTTGAAATGTATTAAAATCAAATTAGATGATATTATTTATAAAAGGACTAAATGTCTTTATCATCGAACAAAGAAGACTCATTGATGTTATTTTTTAAACATTGGTTGGAATCAGGGAACTCGTCTTGGTACTTCAGGAGGTAGAGCAAAAATTCGTCGAACTGAAAGAAGTTAAAGACAGCTTAATTGAATGGTGGAAGGAACTTCCTGTAGGATTAGAGAAAGAAACTGAGGAAGATGTGGGTTTTCTTGTGAATCTTGAACTATTCTATAAGATGAATAAGCTATTAACTTCAAAGTTTTAACTTTTATAAAGCAAATTTATTATTGTAGTATACGTTTAGTTCACTTGTATCGCCATAGATATAAATGTTGTTTACATGTTTAGAAATGTATTTATAATTTTTATTTAAGGATAATTGTAAATATCGATTATTGATTTGCTGTTGAAATTTAATGACAAAAAACGAACATAACATAATATATACATTTTTTCAATCTCTTATCGTTTATCATTTCATTTATTCTATTATTTATTTGGTTTTAAATAATATAGATTGTACAATAATAGCTTTTCTGTGTCATTAGGTGATAAAATATTGATTTGGGGCAGTACTTGAAATACGGTAGTTTAATTAATACAAATACTGTATATTCTTTAGAGGTGTTCTATTATCATGTCCTCCAGTGGGTCAGCAGCAAGTTTACTGACTTACAACACTAACATCCAGTGTTCAATTCCCCCGTGGTAGACATGGAGCAGATAGCCTGTTGTGTAGCGTTGTGCTAAAATAAACAAAACCATATATCATAGAAACATCTGGCCACAATCGTCTAATCGTTCCGGAAAATTTCTTTAGCACTTCCTAACTTAAAACTGAAAATATTTTATTATAGAAATATTAGGATATTAAACAGAAAAAAATGCATGTATAAGTAAAGTAAAATTACTACAAATGTCTTAAACGTTTAGTAATGAGTATTATTAAATTATTGATATTGTATTGTTACGTCTCTGTTCGTTTGTTAATTTCCGGTATAAATTCATTCCGAGGAACTTCAGCGATACAAGTC